GGCATTTTTCTTTTGATAGAAATATATAATCTCGACACCATATCAAATTTTTTTAAAACAGGTTTCCGATCATATGACCGAGATCAGACGGATCGACATGTAGTAAAAAACCTTAAATGAGTTATAATGAAAAGTATGTTTTTTTTCGGACCTAAATGAAGAGCTTTTGTCGTCGTATGATTTTTACAATATTGGAATTCATAATTAAGTTCTTTTACCATACTTTACTTGATTAGCGAAAAGGATCGGTAAACGCATTTTAATTAATTTCGAACTTGATTTGTAAGAACATACTGCGTTTTTAGTCACCTGCATTATTTTAAAAAAAAAAATGGATCTATTGGGAGCAATTATATTAAAGTTTACTAATCATGTTAACTATTTTTTTAAAAAAAGTTATTTCTGTATCATTGCGTTTTTCGAATATTTGATCGACCAATATCGGTCCGCGATTGTGATCTGCCAATCATATTTGTTGCAGAATATGAGAAGAAATTCCTAAAAAGCGCAATAGTGAAATTTAAAAAAAATTAGAAAAGGAATATTCTTCAAAACATAAAAAGAATTAAGAGTGTGGATTCCATTTTTTTTCAGACAAATCAATATACAAATATAATTGAATCAGAATCCTACAAAATTTTTATATATAAGAAATAATGGAAAAAGGAATATGTAAACAACTTTAGTTGAAATATTAAAATGGATTCTAATAATAGTCGTCTAAATAACGATTATTAATTAAAGGCATGTCTTATAATTAAGGGAGTCTAAAAAATAATAAATAACGATTAATTGTCGCAAGTTGAACAAACAAACGCGAAAATTTTAAATGACAATGATTATTATATAATCGTGTGAAATCTTGAAAATTTTGTAACGATCACATTGAATTAAAATGTCTAGTAGCTTCGGACAATAAATAATGTTAATTGTAACTAAAGAATTTGTTTGAAAAGACGATGAACTCTATATTATAATAGTTGACAGTAAATTGATTAGAAAAAAAAAAAAAATACTAAATTTTATTAATTATGAAAACTTATAACTAATATTATATGTATTTCTTTAAATTTAAAAAAATATATATTGGTTTATGATAAAATACATGACCAAAAATACATACTTATATAATACTTAAAATCATAATAAAAAAGTCCTATTTTAATTAGAATTAACAACAGTCCATTAAGGAAAAATAAATAAATCACGACACAGTATTTGCAATCATTGATCAGGTAGCTGCTCCTTCGGTGGTTAAAAATGCTGCTCCATTGCCATATCCGTAGCCCTAAAAAAATTTTCAATAAGTATGAAATTAATTTAAAAAAAAAAAAAGCACAAAAATTTAAAATACCTTTGGGCCAAAGCCTTTAGAATAACATGGCCGGCAATAAATCTTGCCTTCTCGGTCTGCCATATTTGCAGAACTCACAAGTTTATCGCAATTAACACAACGTAAACATAATTTGTGATATTTAACTCCGGCACCTAACGCCTGTATATATATATATGTGAATATAGATAAGAAATGAATTTAAATAGACGGAATATTACGTAAATTAAAATAAACGTACCGCTTCAGCTGCATAAACAGCCTTTGAACAGCGTGGACATATATCATTATTGAGTGGAAGTGTCCAACGCTTCGCATTTCTAGGTGACTGAGGCCTAGAACTGAAAAATCCCGATGGTGAACTAGGTGGTGATTGAGATATCTTGTCCGAGGTTGATTCATTACCACTTGGTTTTTTGATTGGTCGGTCGCTACTTAAGAATGAAGTTCCTGCGCCATATCCATAACCTTTGAGATTAAAGATTAGAATTAAATGCTCATTCAATTAAATGATAAATATGTAGCATATAAATGAATAACATACATGATTTTTACCTTTTGGCCCAAAATGACGTCCGTGACAAGTTTTACAATATGCCTAATTGAAAAAATTAAGCTCGTTACTTCTCATACAAACTACCATTCTAATTAGGAAAACTAACCTGTCCTTCATGCTCTGCTAAGGCATAAGAATCCAACCGTTTTTTACAATCCTAGAAAATAAACTTATTATCAGCTAATTCTTAAAAATTATGTGTAAACATGAAATCCTAAACCTTACAATACAAGTAAGACAATCCCTGTGCCATGGACCATTCGGGCCAATAACCTAAAGTATAAAGTTAAGAATCAGTCCGACTGGAATTAAGTATTCTAACTTAAATTAGCTTCAAAATTCGTTACTTGTTCAGCCATATATACAGCCTTTTGGCAGCGTGGACATTGTGGAGAACCACCCCAACGTGAAGACATATTTAAAGCTATAAAAAGTTTCGTTAAAAAAAAAAAATAAAATAAAATAAATAAAAATACACTAATTCTACTTTGAAAGAATTATAAGAACGTTGTCGTAAAATTATTCTGCCAATCTCTCATTTAAGATACTTATATAAATAATTCATGCATATCATATAAAGAATTATAAAGATGTATGTTACAGATTAAGGGGAAATTTTATTATCGATAAAATCTTTATAGTTAGTCCAATGCAGGGAACGTTACACGGGTTGGACAAATTTGTAGATATTCTAGATGCATTTTTGGATGATGATTTAATTGTCAAATGTTTGAATTTTTTTTAAATTGTACCCCTCTTATCGTAGACCGCAACTGTACATATCACGTGAAATGTACTTTAAAATTTTTTATTTATACATGGGGTCTAGGATAATAACCTAAACCAGAGTCTAGCATAAATTTGCCCTTTTTTTTTAAAAGCATGCAAAATGTCATTAACATTGGAACATGTACGAAGGAAATCGCCCGAAAAACCTAGACGTAGGGTCAAGTTTTCAAACGAGAACACGAAAGATCTGCAACCTTCTGCTCGAAAGAAGGTCAGAAAATTGACAACAAAGCAAAAGTTGATCAAACAAAGTTTTGAACTTCGCAAGAAATTTGAAGAGTTATCTTCAGAATGGCAAGAAAAGTTATTCGATACCGTTGATATAAACGTTTTGCGAGAATCGGTATATGTATTTTTTTTTTTCAAGTTCACTTTTATTGGAAT